TCCTTCTCCTCAGGGCTGCAGGAGAATGATAATGGGAATCCTCAGGTCCCTGCATTCTCTGAGATGAGATGGGTCACACTTGAACAGCATGAAGAGGATTTGATTCGTGGCGATGCTGTTTTGCCTCTGTCCCAGACCGTGTGATACTGCAACAGGTTTCTTGTGACAGGACTAACCCCAGACCAGTCTGTTAGCGATGTGTGTGCGTAGCTGTGAACTCGCTGTACGATACTTTCACAGTGTGATTTTTGCTTTTTACTTTGTCAACTTAGGGATGCTGGCGACTCCTTGAATGACTGCAGAATTATACTAGTGGATGAAATTTATAAAATTGAAGAACCAGGCAGTGCTTGTCCAATTAGTGCCAGTCCATTAAAACGTGAGTCTCTTGCACGGTTCTTGTGTGTCTCGGTCTTACCTTGTGATTGGTAATTGGCTTGTAATAAGCTAATTGGCTTTGTGAGGATCCCAGGTCTGGGAGTTCCAAGATGCTCGTAGCTGTGACTCCTGTGACTGTTTTCCAGTACATCTTGGCACGTTCTGGAGTCTGAATTAGGCTGTGGTTTCTTTTTGTGACCAGGACAAAATGGACCTGTGTGTAAAGCTTGTAAGGACAACCCGAACAAGACCTGCAGAATTTGTGCTTGCCATATCTGTGGAGGTAAACAAGATCCAGATAAACAGCTAATGTGTGATGAGTGTGATATGGCTTTCCACATCTACTGCCTCAACCCTCCCCTTAGTAGTATACCAGATGATGAGGATTGGTAAGTCCTAAGTGTGTGTGTGGTATCACAATTACTGTCTAATTAGGAGCAGAAAGTGAGGTCTAGGGCTTCATGCTGCCCTTCGGTGCCAGTATTGTGACTGTCTGAGGTGAAGAGATGTTTGTGTAGTGGTTTTTGGTAGGACTTTATAGCTTTTCTTGAACATCAGTCTAGAGAGAGTATGTTTTAAGACCGTGGCTTTTAAACTCGTTTTCCCAATTTTGGGATCTGTATGCCTATTCCAAGCAAAGTGCACCTACCTATAAACCAAATGTAAACCTGATGCCAGGAGGCTTCACTTGTACAATGGTTTTTTTATAGGCTCGTGGACTACCTTTAAGTGACCCATCACCATATATAACATCAGATCCATAATGTTTAATATATGAAATACGTATGGTGAGATACATATAGTGAAATATGCTGTCTTATTCCTTGTGTCCTGTCTCAACATCTTATACAATGATTTTTGGTAGAGCTGGTTTCCTGACACATCTGCATGGCTTAGAAGATGGTGCAAGGACAGTAGCTAAATCAGGTCTAATTCCAGGATAGAGGTGTTTCAAAGTCCTGTCGAGTTTCACGTGAGGAAATTGTAATGTAACTCAGTATGTTTTGAGGAAATTGTCTTTTAATGTATGGCTTTGCTACTAGCTAATTCTCATTGACTGGTGACTTTAGGTATTGCCCTGAATGTCGAAATGACGCAAGTGAGGTGGTTTTAGCAGGAGAGAAATTAAAAGAAAGTAAAAAGAAACAAAAGATGGCATCTGCTAATTCATCCTCGCGGAGAGACTGGGGCAAGGTCAGTGCAAAAGCCGCTTTGTTTTGAGGAACAATGCGTGTTAGTCCCTTGTAGTTCTTGGCTGATCGGCCTCCTCTTTGAAACAGGGTATGGCATGTGTCGGTCGCACGAAGGAATGTACCATCGTCCCCTCGAACCACTATGGACCAATTCCTGGGATTCCGGTTGGCACCATGTGGAAGTTCAGAGTTCAGGTATGAAACTGAATCCCTGACCCAAGCCACTGTAGGGGAAAAATGGGAACGATCCAGCTCATAGGAGAAACCTGAAAGAGTTAATCTCGGAGTGTATGGCACTGGATATGAAGTGCAGAAAGGAAAGAATTCTGGCTTTGTCTAGATCAAGTGTTCCATAACTAATGCTGCATTGTCCAAGCACTTCAAGTGTTTTTCTTTAGTGCTTTTTTTTTTGGAGACTCAAACCCCCAAGCCAAATGTATTTGTTTCCCGTTGTTTGTCCTGCGTACTATCTCCCGCTTGTTCCTCTGGTAAAGAGTTGGGGAATACAAAGCCCCGGACTATCCAGATCCTGGTTTCAGGTATTAGATGAAGGCTGCTGTTGCACATCCTTCAAAACCAATCCCATTTATGGAAGCATTTAACTTTAATACCTGCTTTGTTGTAAAATTCCCGGAGGTTTTTAATAAGCAGTCTCGGTGAGAAAGATCCAAATGTCTAAACTGACATCGCAGAAAACATCCATTTGTTCAATTTACTGAAACATTCAGTGGCTTATCTTTTTAAAAGCATTTCCCTTTTTCCTCTGCCAGGAGCTTTTGCGGAGGACAGTTTCACACTGTAATAGGTGCAGTAGTACTATTAGCTAACTCAGTTCCAGCACCAACGGGTGGTCCTGTTGTTCGGAGCCCGTGGACAGCAGTTACCTAGCAGACTCTTTTTTTTTTTTCTCCCCCCCAGGTGAGCGAAGCCGGTGTTCACAGGCCCCACGTGGCAGGTATACATGGCAGAAGTAACGATGGCGCCTACTCCTTGGTTCTGGCAGGAGGTTACGAAGATGACATAGTAAGTGAATCTTGACTATTTACGCCTGAGAACCAAACTAGCTTGTTAAAGGCTTGGCCTTAATTACTTTTTGCACTGTGTCGGGTATTTACCCATCTTGATGATACTTCTGTAATGTAGAAGCAGGTTAGGCAAAGGGAAACAACAGTCCAGTAAAATGTGCCAACCTGTGACACAGGATCATCTAAATTTAATGTCCCTGCGTTGGCTTTTAATCCAGGAGCCCTTAGCTGCCTTTCCAGCATCTCCATCGCATCCACAGTTTGAACAGACCCTCGCTGTGTGCTCTGCCAGATCTTCCTGTGTCGGGAGAGTGTTCAGAACCAAACTAGGGGCAGAGGTCCCGCTTCTGAATACACCTTCTGGCTCTGCTAGCCAAACCTCATGAGGCTGTCCCAGCTCTGCTGCTTGTTCTTCCTGCAGATCGTTCCCAGCCTGCACCCCCTTCTCCCAAATGCCTGCGGGAGCTGACATAAAACAGCACCACGCGTCTCGGGTCGAAGCCTTAACTCCGTCCGCAAGGTCATGTACAGGCAGTGTGGGGGCACAAGTTACACGGTCTGGAACCTGCCCTTGTGCTTCCCAGCAGGTTGCACGCAAGCGGTGCGCCGTGCTCTGGGCAGAGGCCTCTGTGCTGTTAAGGTGTGTGAGGAGGCAGCAGTTGTCACCCCGCTCCTGGCCGTGTAAGAGAGGACCACAGCCTGGGTCTGGCAGCTCAAGTGGAGAAAGCATCTTCTTTTTTTCCAGAATACTGTATTACAGCTGCTTGATTAAAAGACTCTTCTGCTTTTATTGTTGTGAACGTGTCAAAACCATCCGTGTACATTTCAGGATCATGGAAATTCCTTCACATATACAGGGAGCGGAGGGCGCGATCTTTCCGGAAACAAGCGCACGGCGGAACAGTCTTGTGATCAGAAACTCACCAACATGAACAGGTCGGCAATGTTTGCGCTCCGTCCCTAACCTTAGCTGGCAACCTGTCTGCCCGAAAAATTGTTCGCCCTGTTTTTATCAAAAGAAACCGGCCAAGCGGAAAAAGTGTTGACTGCCTTGTAGGTTTGACTGTAAGAAGCATTTCCATTGTGCCTATAAGTGAAATAGGTTTCTAAGTGGTATTAGTTTTGCATTTAGTATTGTAGGAGCTTGAGGAACAGTGTAGTAAGCTGCGTAGAATTTTCAAGGCCCAAAGACCTTTGCAGCCACCGGTGTGTGAGTCGCTGGAAGGCGACGTTGGTAATCCTGAACGGCTACTCCTAAGTGTGGACCTGAGTGGAGGAGGTGGTCCCTGCAATTACTTTAGGCTAATAAATAATCAGTGTATTTAAAATGCAGCCTCTGGTCAGAAAGCTTAATTGCAATCTCCCAGAGTTCTTAGGGCTATTCTTGAAAGTCTTGGTGTTTAAGACAAAGCCTGGCCACATCCTTTTTCCTTGGGAGAGGTTCGGAAGGGGGGCGCCTGTACCTCAAAGGGGCAGTAGGCTCTGGTTTTGTTGGTAGCCGTTGCTGTGGTTCACCCAGTAGGCTGCTCCTCCTAGCTCAGCTGCGTCGATGCAATGTGCCCAGGTGGCCAAGAAGGCCAATGGCATCTTGGCTTGTATCAAAAACAGCGTGGCCAGCAGGTCCAGGGATGTGATTCTCCCCCTGTACTCGGCACTGGTGAGGCCGCACCTCGAGTACTGTGTTCAGTTTTGGGGCCCTCACTACAAGAAAGACATTGAGGTCCTGGAGCGTGTCCAGAGAAGGGCCACAAAACTGGTGAAGGGTCTGGAGAATATGTCTGATGAGGAGCGACTGAGGGAACTGGGCTTGTTTAGCCTGGAGAAGAGGAGGCTGAGAGGAGACCTGATCACTGCCTACAACTCCCTGAAAGGAGGTTGTGGAGAAGTGGGTGTTGGTCTCTTCTCCCTAATGACAGATGATCGGACGAGGGGGAATGGACTCAAGCTGAGCCAGGGGAGGTTTAGATTGGACGTAAGGAAGAAGTTCTTCACCAAGAGGGTTATCACGCACTGGAACAGGCTGCCCAGGGAGGTGGTGGAGTCACC